AGGCCTCTGGTAGAGGACCCGAGCTCAGAGGATGAAAGAGACCACCCACGGAGGGTGAGAAAGGAATTTTATTTTTATTTTTATATATAAGTAATAGATATACAAGATTGAAGCTGACTGCTTGAACAAACAGTGCATGTTAAGTCTTTGTTTATTACTGTGTAGTTCTCACCGCTTCATTGTGGCCATGCACTTGAAAATGCCCAAGGCTTTCACCAGGCAGCTCTAAGCTGTATTCCATTCACGCCTGCAACTTTATCTGTCCAGATTCAGCGTGTATAGGGTGAATGCTCCACAAGAACAAACATCAGCAGTCCAAACACAGAAGATTACATAAACTCGAAGCTCTTGACCTTTGAAAAAGGATCATTGCTGGGAACATCCCGCTTTGATCCTTCACAGTAATGAACATAAAGAAACATGGTTGTACATTCAAAATAGCTGGAATGAGCTTTAGTGTTTTTAAGTATGTTTCTGCTTCAAGGCACGATTTCTCAACTCATCCATTATACAAAGAGAGTCTATTCAGTACATCAACCCCTTCAGATAAAATAAGTCCCGTGAAAACCTTACTAATTACCAATTGGTGAAGTGATTCAAATTTTGCAATTGTCAGGTTAGACAAACACACAAGCACTGTGCAGCTCCCCTTGATTAAAACTATTATGTATGATGTATGGCTAAATGGTAAAGAGATAAAATACAGAATCCACATACTTAGATTACCAGGCTTCTTGTCATCTTCTGAAGTCCCTGAAACTTTACTGTGAATAACACTGATTATCCCTTCTTCAAGTGGAAGAACTTAAGCCTGATTGATTGTTTTTGTTCTCAAAGTCGATGTGTTAGAAGCAAGAAAAAATAGCTGCGGCTCATTTCAGTCCTCAGGATCGAAGGTGTGACCTGATCAAAAAGACAAGCTGCTGTAGCCCAAAATGCCAAAGAAGTGGAGTCCATCCGTTGATGAGTTGGTGCTATTCTGGCAGCAAAACAGTGGACTATCGAAATATTAAGCTAGGGGTCATAATGTTTACCTCATTGGTGAGGTTTAGTGTATCAATTTGTTTACCGATTCAAAAAAAATTAAACTTATCCCATTCACTGGATCTAAAGTAATATTAGTTATATAACATTTATCTGTCAAACAAATGATACAACACACTTTTTGTATCATTCTTTCTTACCAGATCTGGGAGAAATTCTCAGCAAAACCGGTGGAGCCAAAACATTGGAGACATTGACCGTTAGCCGAACGGCAGAGATTCTTGTTGAATTGAGATGAATTGAGCACATGAGTGAATCCTCTGCATCACACACAACCTGATGTTCAGATGCATGGTAATCTGTGTCGTTTTCCGGAGAGCTGGAGAGAGGAGCAAATTTTATTATAAGGACTTTGATCAAAGACGTTGAACGTGTTACAAACTAAATGTTCTCTGCAAACGTGAAAAAAAGTTACTTTTGACAGGGACATTTCAAATCATGTGACAACAAAAATAGTTTTCTTGCTGTGAATAATTTGAAATGTTCTAAAAATGAAAAATAAAAAAATGCACTCTTAGCAGCTGTGCATCATATTCCACGCTGTATCAGGTTGGTTAACTGTGCAATGATTTAGTTTCTTTTTTCTCGCCACTATTGAAGCCTGGACCTAGTGTTATACCTCACATTTTCCCCACCACTGACCAAAGTAAACAGCTGTGAGAGGTCAGGAAACACTCAACCACAAACAAGTACACATTCAGGCACTTTCAAAAACCAGAACACAAGTTTATACTTACATCTGCTGGAGGCTGACTGCCATACGAATGGGCTTCATCATACCAGATGACAGGCCACTGGACTTAAGATCACAAGTTAAATTTGACCAGGATTCATCAAATCCGCACAGAACGTCCAAACAGGTGCCTGACAAGAAACCACATTTGCATATTACCCCTTTGGGACCTGCAGCTGAAGGTCTCAGATGTTGAAATCAGAAGAAATGAGAAGCTACTCAATGTACCAGCTGAGGTTAAATAACTTGTTGGCAGATTCAGCAAAGATCCAAGTGGAGGCTCAGTCAGGTGGTGACTCAATACTATGATGCTTTGACTGATTTTAAGGCAAAAACATTTGCACAGTTACAATAACAAGCTGTGCATGGTAATCCTATCCTGATAAAAATTGGTGTATTTGTCCAATTTGCAATACATCTGTAATTTAGATATAAATATGGGTCTTTTCTCACACTAAACGTAAGTACAAGTCTTTCATCTAGTGCAGTTGAGACACTAACATTGTAACCAAGATAAAATCAACTCCTTTGAATGAAGTGCTTAAAAGCAAAGATGTCAAGACATGCTGAAACACAGAAATGTTTTTCTTTTCAACTTTTAACCTCTGTCATTAAACATGCAGGATTTGGGAACATTGGAAAGGATCTACATTCTCCAGGAAACATAGATGGGAATGTTCAACTTTTAACCAGCCGTAACATTGATCACGTCTGAGATTTTATTGCTGCCTAGATGTAAATTACGTAAACATGGGATCTTGACTCCTGGTAAATCCTCTCCTGTGATCCCTGTTCCTGGTGTGTCAGATCAGCTGTTAAGCCCAAACTGTTTACGGGTCCGAGGAAGCAGTTAGACACACAATGGGAGGCTTTAATTGTTCGCCATTAAACTCCGAGCTCTTGTGAATCACAGCTTTTTACAGATCGATTTAAAGAAAACCCACAAGCTTCTCCACCACCACATGTGCAAAATGAGCTGAGTATTTCATAATGACTCAACTGAATGGATTCCTGTCTCACTCACTGAACCTTCCTATCTCTTCTATACTGCAAGCAATCAAACAGTGCTTGGAGTGTAAATTTATTTTATTTTACTTATTTTTTATTCATTTATTTTTACTACAGACCTAAAGAAAGAACAAGTAATCCTCCAGAGAGGTCATGTCAGGTTGATGTTTGGAACATTTCAATCAAAGACAAAAAAAAGAGTTATTTGACTTGCTAGTTAAATCCATTCAACATATAATCATCCAAAACCTGCCTGTGCCTGCCAGCACACATGTTGATCACACCAGACTTTGATGTTGCAGTCAAAAACAGAACAACAAGATAGTTTCTCTTCATAAGATAAGTTCTTTTCATATTGTGAACTCACTTTCAGCATTTTCTGCACTTTCTTACAGCCTTGGTACAAACTTTGCAATAAATGCGTTTTTATAGCGGTGGTAAAATGTTCCACTGAGAATATTTTTGCTGACAAGTTGTTTGGGAGGAATGCCTTTTTTTGTCCTACTATCACAAATAGAAAGATGTGGAATTTATTAAATGCTACTGGGGCTTTAACTGAAACATATTCTTTGGTAAGATCAGATTAAAATTGAGCTTTTTAGTAATTTTATGAGAGTTTGACATGAATAAAGAATGAATGTGTAGAAAAGGAGAGGTTAACATTACTTGTGGTTATTTGTGTTTCTGTTCACGGAGGAGCGTACCTACAACTGTGCTCTGACAGATGAGATTAAAATAACACCTGAGGTAGGTTTGGTGTTGAACAGTCAATAAAAAAAAATACTTCAAGCCTACTGTTATGCACAGTTGAGACCCTGATGCTGTGAGTGCATGGCGTCATAACCTCTTACTGGAACGTTTCACTCACTGCCACACAAACAGACAATATTTTGAGCGTAAACTCTTACCGCCTAGAGACACTGGAGGTTTTGATTCAGCTGAGGAGCTCCTAAATTTGCAGCGTGGAGACTGTGGGAGGTTTAAATCAGACTGGCTTGTCCCTTCTTCTATATAAGTGTAAGCAATAGGTGAGTCACAGCACACCTCATCTTGCCAGGGGACGTCCAGGGCGACTGAATGAACGGGAGCTCCAGGTCGCAAACACTGAACAGCTAAACACAGAGAGAAAGGAGAGTAGAACGGGTCAACAGTTTCAAAAAAATAATAGTTGGTGGCTTTTTATATTTTAAAAGATTAGGTCATTTTGAAAGGTCAAGGTATATATTTTTATATATTGTATAGCCTATGTCAAATTCTACTAGTAAAGAATACATAAACCGAAGTCAAAGACAGTTTTAGACTTTGTATACTTCTTTTCATTGCATCTCCAACATATTTCCAAACATTGTATTTCTGTCATGCCATACATATAAGTTTGCATTCTAAATAATTGGGGAGTGGCTTGTATTTTTAGAGCGTTTTATCCAGTCCAGAGGACTTTAAGCTCCATTCAGTCATTCACACGCTGATGTTGGGAAGATAAATTGTAGCCACAGCTGCCCTGGGACAGAGTGAGAAGTGTCTAGTCCAAAGACTGAGTTGTACAGCAAGAGGATTCAAACCGGCAAAACACAGGTTGCAAGATGAGTCCTTATTTTGAGGAACAGAGTGTGATGCTTTTTTCATCCTGACAATTTAATAAAAAACATTATTACCACTCACTCATGTCTCACTGTTGACCACAAAGTGGTTCTACATTAACTTCTCACAAATAGGACTGAAATCTTGTTTAAAGTTCAAGTTGACTCTTCAATTTTTCATGGTATAGAAAGGTATAATACATTTTTTTAAAGTTCAGTTTCATATGTATGTTAGCATATCCATTTAGGTATCAGGTAGTTTTGCACATCTGCAGAATAAAATTATTGTCCGTTCTTTACAAAAAAGCCCAAATTCAATCAGACTGAACAGAGGAAATCTGTGAAGTTTTTTTTTTTTTTTTTTCCCCAGTCTCACTTTGACTAGGCCATTCTAACACGTTTATGTTTTCAGCCATTAACCTGCTTCAATTTGACTCTTTACAACATTTTAACTTCTTATGAGTTTAGGTTTTTTATTCAGCTTTGAGAGTATTTACGGTGCTTGATTTTTTCCCCCCAGTATTGTTAAAAGTTGCTATTAAAATCCATGCGTCCAAACATCTTAGAAAGACAGAAAGCATGTAAATAGGATGCTATAGTTTGTCACTTGGGTGTTTGAAGAACGCCTTAAATTCTTCAAACAGCCAGGTTTGAAGAATTTAAGACGTAAAACATTTTATAAGAAAATAACTGAGATGAAAAATGGTGCAACATAAGAAATTGTTCTATTTTACCTGACAATGAATGATTGCTAAAATCCAGCCTCTTACCGAACTTTAACCATAAGACCACATCATTATAAGATGTAGCAGAGGTAGGACCCTGTTACTAAGGGTTCTGATGTGACTGGATGCAAAAAACACATGGTTATTTTAGACATGATGTTTCAATATAAGATTTTCATCTTAAAAATGGTGAATGCTGGTTCTGACTTCTGTTCTCCACATATAAGACCAGAGTTCTGCATTCAAAAAACACAAATACGATTTAAGAAAACATCCAACAACACAACACTGGAAACTGGAAACTCACCAAGCAGCATCAGGAGGACGTGAACCAGGACTGTCAACATTACGGACCAAGTCCTGGAAAAACACACACAAGCTGGAACGGTTACTAAACAACAATCCTTAACAGTAAAACAGACAAACAGGTGTGCCACTGTGATCAACATTGTACCAGGGAACCTGCATTTTTTCAGGAATTGTAATGATTAATTTTAAGTCAAGTATATGCTTGTAAACTCCTGCTAATACAGGCAGAATTTTAAAGTGTAAGATTCCTCTGTGCTCCGGTGCCAAGAAAGACAATGCCAAATTCAGTCATCTTCAGACTTCGGTACATTTAGAAATCAAGGCTGACCACAAAAAAATAAATAAATTCACCGCAGTCTTTACAATTCAACTTCCTTTATGAGGAAAGTATCACAAGACTTCAAAACAGATTCAGTTATGTTTCTTCTTCAGCTGAAGAGATGCCTGCCTAGCATGTTCAGCTCATGATGCTGCATGGAAGGAACTTATCACAACTTTGAAATTACAACATTTAAGACAAGTCTTGTTCATTTAAGGACCACCAACTGAGACACAGCTTGCATGTTTTGTTTTGGTTTTGTAGACCTCTGAATTTCACTGTGTTTTTATGACAAGAAAACACATGTTTTGCCATCATGTATTGAGCCAACAGCTTATTATTAACATTGATCTCAAATGCAAACTTGGTATCTTGACATGGCTAAAAGAAAACCCAGCATCATAAAGAAGTTGGAGCAGGAAAGAGTTGGCTGAGTGGATAAGCTGTAATTTTGGAGTGTGACGTTTTATGGTTTTAGGAAGGTGAATTATTATTATTTTTTCCCCCCAAATTAAAATGTGTCTGGTCAACTTATCGGCATTCAAATTCCTGGAGTTATATGCTGCAGAAAAAAAAGGGGTTCTGTTCAGAAGTGAAGACAGCATGTTCGTACCTGTCATGTTTTGTTTTTTTTTCCAAGTTTAAATTTCAAGTGCCATAACTTTGTAGGAAAGAATATAATCTAGTGATCAGAGCATCATTCCAGAACATCTCATTCAAATGATTGCATAATTTCCTATGAAAATTATGCAATCATTTTGCATAATTTGCACTTGGTAGCATGGGTGTTAACCACCCACTTATTCAACTAAGGTGTGTTTGTCGAAGAGACACACCTAAAACAGTCAGGCAAATGATTTCTGAGGACCAGAAATGAGAAACACATACTTTTTTGAAGCTTAATCTTTCTGGTCAACATTGCCACAGAAAATCTGGATTTTTGATAATGTCTATGCCACATCTCAAGCACCAATCAGAGAAGCATTCAAAGCAGAGAACCAGCAGGGCTCTAATTTCTGATATCATAGCGTTAATTTCTGATAGACGTGATGCATAAGAAAGCATAATCCAGATAAAAACTATACACAATGTATTAATTGAGAAAAAGCTCCACATACACAAGTACGTGTATGTATAATTATTTTGAATTGTGTAAAAATAACACAATTCAGTGCATGTTTAAGCGGTTGTGCCAAACGCATTACATTCTTTCACATTACATCATGGTTTTCTATTTTGTTTTTAGAAATAAAAATATGATGAAATCCTTTACAATTACAGCTATGGGGTATGTCTTAACCTTTGAACTTCTGAAAGCTGTCATTTTTTACAGCAGTTTGTAAAACTGCTCACATTCAGTCAGGTTGGATGCCAGATTCAAAACTGGACTCGCTAGAAGTTCTTTGACTGGGCCACGACGTGAAAATGCTTTAATTTATACGGTTTCATCATAGCTCTGGCTGTTAGTTTGGCGTTGCTGTAATCTTGGAAAGAGAACCTCCACCCCAGTCTATAACAAGCTATTTTTCAACATTGCCCTGTATTTAGTTCTTTTGATCCTCTTATAAACTCTGTCCAGATTTCCTGTCCTTGCTGGGGAAACTAAGCAAGTGCGAAAACTTTGTGCAGAACCTTTCACATGTCAAAAACCACAAAGCTTTACAATAAAAACAAGCACAAAAACAAAAAAATAGGAGATAAAACAAGAAAAAAGAAAAAAGAAAAGATGAAACAGCAAGCGTAACGTTCTGTTGCCTAAAGCTAGCAAAAAGCCTGTCTGTATTTAAAGAATCTTCAGCTGAAGGAAACAATCTGGAGGTCACAGTTCAAAAGGATTAATTTTCTTTGGTCCTAAAATGCATTTGTGGGACCATTAACCACCCCAGTTTTTAGGGGGACGGTGTGTTCAGGGTGAAGTGCAGTATTAGCTCTCTGTCACACATAGCATCCAAGCCATGAAGTTACATTTTGGTCTCATCTAACCAGATGACCTTTTAGCATGTTTACTGTGTCCCTTACATGGCTTATGGCAAACAAACAAATAAACAAAAAAAAACAAAGGTTCATTAACAACTTGAAAAATCTGTCCTTTCCTATTCTCCGTACAACACTTTGGTCAAACTTAAGTGTCGTCTTGTCACTCTGTCATAAGTCAGATTTATGGCTTGCTTGACTAACAGTTGTGTCAACAGACTCTTCAGTCTGAGCTTAGGATCTCTACTGGACTCCTGGATGCATTACTGATTAATAATTTCCTTGCACACCATGTCAGGTTAGGTAGATGCTCATATCTTGGCAGGTTTACAGTTGCACTCTACTTTTGCTATTTTTAGACGATGGATTAGACAGAGCTCTTTGAGATGTCCACAGCTTGTCATAACATAAAAGACGGGTACTTAATTAGGGTAACAAGCTTCACTTTATAGAGACAATTTACATAGATCAATGTGGAGCCAGCAGACAGTTAGGTCTGGAGAAAATTTTTAAAGTATTTCCAACCCATATTGTTCTGATAGGTTAACGTTTGGGTGCCTCCAAATGGTTTATTGACTTTTCCTATTAATTTTGGTTTGGGTCAATTGAATTTGACCCAATAGATATGAACTTGTGCAGGAATCTACTCAGAGGCTTATGTAAACATCATAATTCATACGACTCATCCTAAAACAGACTGGTAAACTTTCTCATACTGTTGAGATTGGAATTTGACTCTGGTGTTATAACATTCCTAGCTGATTTTTCAACACTTCCTACACAGGTTTAATCTGATCACAGTAAGAGTCACGGTATAAACAGGAGTACAAAATTCCTGCCAAACAGATCAAATACCACTGTGTCTTAATTAAGTAACAGAATATCATTTCTGGGACATAACTGCAGGTTGAATTTAGTGTATATATTTGGTTAAGAAACGTATGTGAGTAATAAGAAAAACAGCTTTTTAAGAGAGCAGATGTACAAACTCTGACACTCTATTAGAATGCAATAGTTGTTATTGTTATTATAGATTATTATTACTATTTTTTTAAATCTTTTGTTATTTTGGAGGCACAACAAAATTGAGGGTGCTCCCACCGAGCCTCCATACGTTGTCGCCAAAGTCCCAATAACACAAAACAGGCAAAAGATGTCTTGCTACCATTTTCATATGTAAACGCATCAAACAGCAGCATGTATTTTAATGATACTTTTTAAGTTGTAAAACAAAAAAACAAAAACAAAAAATACAACCACAAAAAAATAAAATAAAATAAAATAAAATAAAAAATAAATAAAGCTTAGTTAAACATAAGCTATGTATGGGGATATTTTTGTATCCCCATACATAGGTTGGGGACAAAATATAGAAACAAAGAAATATAGAAATTGTAATCTCAATTTCTATATAGAAATTGAGATTACAATTGAGATTTATATATATATATATATATATATATATATATATATATATATTTCTATATATATTACAGGAGGTGAGGATCTCATTTAAAAACCAACATTTACTTTCAGGTATATGACACTACTTGAGTTACAGGTGAATTTATGCATTTTTATTTTTAATCTTTTGTTTGTTTGTTTGACCAGTCCTCTCCTAGTCATGTCTTTATTGTACAACACTTTGGTCCGATGCTGTTCTTACAAAAAAAATGGAATGTTCAAAGTGATGTGCTTTGACAAACTGACAAAGGCAATCCTTTGTCAATTTTCTCCACCTATGACTAACTAATGAGTCACATTATCAACAAGTCATATCACAACAGAAAGGAGTGTGTTGATTTTATCCTATCATCTCAGTAAACCCTCTCTTTGTGCAGAGCTCCACAATAGATAAAGATCTGCATTTATTCATGACTGTTGAAGCTGTAATAGTTGAGTCAGGTAGTTGTTTAGAAATAAAATACAAGCACACACTCATTCACATTTACAAACCGGTTGAAAAGTAAAATACAAGCACAGGTTCTTATCTCAAAGTAACCGCTCTACTTTGATACCAGATTCAATCCTAGTTTATTAAAGGGAATAAGGCAATTAAGACACCTTCATTGCAGAACAAAGTTGCCCTTGCAGATGCAGGCAACCAGCTTATTGTTACAGGTATGTCTAAGAACATAAATGTGTGTTGGGGGAAGTGCTGTTATAACACAATTTCCTCTGCAAGTTGAAGGGCCTGTCACTGCGTTTAAATAAAAGCATCTGTGTGCATCCAACTATTGCAGACCACGCACTGCTGATCACATGCGGTTTCGAATGCAGTGTGGCAGCTCCAACTGCTCAGTTGTCACAAAACAACACACAATTAATTTTCTCCTCCGTAACAAATGCAGACCAACATGCTTTTTACAACCAAAACAGTAACTATTCTCCAGTTTCACAAGAGGCTGGGCCCCCCTGGTGTGTGCCGCCATTTCTCATCTACACTCCGAGTCTCTCTGACGCCTGGCACCTAGAGTGAGCTTTTTGACAGTCCGCTGATTCGTTTTACATGGAACAAGACGAAATCAGAGGGAATTCAACGGAAAGGAAGTTAAACTGATAGGCTAGGCTGATTTGGAACAATAAAGCAGTATAAAAATGTTGAAATATACCTAAAAGTTATGAGAATTTTTAAATTGTATAAAATGTATAACTTCAAATGACTTTATTTGTCCCACAAGGGGCAATTCCAAAGCACATATTGCAAACAGACTCAAAAGTGATAGCTCAAACAATATGATTTATGAAATTCACCAATACTAATAAACACGTAAATATAAGTATGTAATAAAAAAAGCACTGTGATTTATGCACGAAGTGTGAAGTTTAAAAAAAAAACGGACGAAAAAAGAAAGAGTGTGGCTCCAGAAACAGCAGGGAGACAGAATAAACTCCAACTGTAATTACATGTTAAATAGTCTTACGTTTTAATTGCCGGGAAGCTTCATGAAGGTTTTCTTTTTGCCAAGATCAGCCGGGTGAGTTAAATCCGCCGCGCTGCTGCCACAGCTCACGCCCCGCTGACAGATAAGGAGCTCAGTGAGAGAAAAGGTACCACGCAGCAGATGCTGCTTGGTTGTCGTTTTGTAGAGGAACTGAAGAGTGGAGCACTGAGGGGAGGAGGAAGAGCGAGAGCGGATCCTGTTATCCCGTGGTGCGTTCAGGAAGCCTCCGAAATTACACTAATTTTATGGGATGTACATAAACCGAGCACAGCATATTTCTTGGGAGGACTCCGAACTACATCAAGCATCTCTCTCTATGAAACATGTGTTTAATTTGAATCAAATCGCAAAAAGCATCTGTCTTTAAATTACTTAGAATAAGGGAAATATGTTTTTTTTTGTTTTTTTTTCCGAGATCTTTTGGCCTACTTCATGTTGTCAGACAGGTTCTATAAGTTCATCATGCCAGTCTATGGCTTGGGTCAGTTTTTGTTATTAATCACAATGCATCCCCTGAACCTGAGGCTTCTAGTTGTAGCTTCCGATCCGCAAAAATATGGCTAAAAGGCAATCACACTTCATTTTTAACTATTTTGAGCATCTTTAAGAAACTCTAGTTTAAAAACTGCAACATCATAGATATTTCAAACCTGGATTAGATCATTCTATACTAAATGCAAAATATTTGGCACTGAGTTTGCGATTTGTGAAACCTTTATTTGATTGCTGGGATTCAAACTGACCATGCGTGCACTTTTACAAGTTTTCATTTATTTAAATTTTATGGTATTGGAAACTGCTGTAATATAATGGGACAATCCTGTCACCTTCCCATCTGCCTCACTTTTCCTGAGTGTCAATCTGGGACTGCAGGAGGGCTAAATAAAGTATTTGAACATTTATAGACATTTACTTACTCCATGGTACATTTAATTATTTAATGTATTTATTTATGTCGTTTTGTCCCTTAAAGTTCTACATACATTTCTAAAGAGGTGGTGCCGCAGCATGAGTGTGTTGAAAAGTAGTCTGGTGGCTACTGTGATGCTAAATCCATCAAAGTTCCTATTCTGTCTTATACTCTCTCTGCATTTATTTTCTTCTGACTGTGAAAACTTGGCACTTATACAAACACATGCAGAACCGGATCTCTGTGTTGCAGATAGTTGCTATTAAAATTCTTGTTGTTTGAGAGCATGGACTGTGCAATACAAACAATTTTCTATAATCAGTTGTCTGTACACCGTCTCACACCCAATGACTTCTGGAGATATGCATTTTTTTTTTTTATTTCTCAATATTATTCATAATATCCAAGAACTGGAACTTTTAGGAATGTACCAAGTGATTCTTTTTTTAGATTCATTGTTGGGTTTTATTAGACACTAGCAGATGTTTGTAGAGCTACACAACAACAGGGTTTGCATACAATTGACTCTTTTGAGGATTTCATAAAAGGGGATTTAAAAAGTAAAGAACTAAAGAGAAACATTTTAATAATTATCATTTGGTATGATTTGAAAGTGAGCTAAGCTCTTTGTGTGTGTGTTTAATCTGGGTGTGTGTGTCAGAATGAAATAGTGACTGCAGTCACTATCTGACTATGTGACGTAGAAAAGAATGCGTCATTGTGTGCCTCAGTGAAGGGGAGGAGAGTCATTTGCAAGTGGATTTAATCTCACAACGAAGGGCATCACATCCATTTTCCAACCCACTTATCTTTATTTGAATAGATTTGCCTCATCTGTTTTCAGTGCCCCCACATCCTTCAACTGACTGAAAACTGCAGTGACAGTCAGAGCCTGGCAGCCTATGCTTTTACACACATTTAAAACAAAAGCAAATGCAAATGTCAGGAAATAATCTCTTTTTTTTATCAAATTAATATTTTTTATTTTTGTGGCTGTGGAAGGCAAAAGTCTAAGCTACATTCACCCCATGTCTCACCTGTTGATTGCTGAACATGCTGAACATGGCCACCAGCCAACTCACAACAGGATTAGGGTGGCATACAAAATGGATAACTGGATAATTAAAGTTATTGAAAAGCAAGGATGGTACATTTTAGAAAACTGTCCACATGAAATCCTACACAAGCTGTAAAGTCTTCCTCTTCTGCAGTCATTTCACCTCACAACATTAAAAGAGGAGAGATTTGAGACTTACACCCCTGCTACATACATTTTGAATTTAGGTCAAGTTTTCAGGTTCACTGACCAGTGTGAGCAAAACAAAGACAGTGCTACAACAGAAGCCTGAACTTAAATTGAGGAGACTCTCCTCTATGCTGACATCATTCCAACCTGTGAACAGGATGACCTCATCGTTTCAACACAAAATTAAATCCTCAGGGAGAAAACATCACTTTTCTGAGAGATGTATCAGAACACAAAAAAATGTTGTCATCTCATTCCACATTTCGTATGAAACCTAATAATGTTTTGAGGTTCAAACAATAAAGCAGCTAGAATATTGTCTTGTCCATCTCTTTAGAAAACATTGTTTTCACTGCTGTGTTGGAATTACCATTTTAAGTAACTCAAACTGGTTTATTCAAACAGTTTACTGTTGGTACACTCTCATTAGTTGCACCGTATGATACGCATCAGCAACCACAGCTCATTACTTTATAGTTTGTCTCAAATTAAACACATTTTATTTTATTAATTGTTTAAAATAGTCAGTAGAAATGACACTGTGCTTTCAGATGCTCCTTATTCCTTGGTCACATGCTGCTTTTCACTTTCTAACATCAAAATGACTTGGCTGCTGAGTTGCCCATGTCTAAATTAAAAGTAAATGAGCCATGACTCAAATAGGAGAGCCAACTGTTGAATAATTAAAGCACAAGATGGAGAGGAAACACCTTCAGAGGGGCTTACACACTGACATCATCCACACACTGAGATCATGATCTCAAGCTTGAATGACAACACTAAGGCGTGATGATGTCATCTCCTTTCAATGGCTCTGCTGGGATGTGACTTTGACATTCTCTTATTTTTAGACAGTCCCACAGCATCAGAGATTCTGGTTAATTTTGTATGTAATTTAAATTCAAATATAGATAGTAAGAAATATAAATGTTTTGTTACTCTAACATTTTTATTTCTCTAATATTTATCAAAAATTATATTTTGGGTCAACTGGTAATGTGGGATCATCCATATGTAAACTGTTTTTGAAGTGTGACCTGTAGATAAGTTGATAAATACAAAAAATTAGAGAACAAAAAAAAAAAAAACTCCACATGGAGCTCCTAAATGTGCTGTTCTTTCATAATAACCACACAGAAGTATGCACACACTGTTCTGCTGATGTTAAATGATAGGGGTTGTTTTGCTAGATATCATGTTTCAGGGGCTGCATAATACAGTCAGCAGGAGAAAAAGGCTGGACTAGGCAGCAGAACTGTTTACAACACTAATTATTTGTTTACAAGACTGATAAGCTATTGATTTGTTATTTTCCTGCCTGGGTCACATCTTGTACACAGTATTCCAAAACATTTTATAAATATTTAACAGATGCTAATTATGACATAATTTTGAGATCTCAACAGAATTTACACATTTTGTTTCATTATAACTACAAAGTAAAATGTCTTTTATTGTGATCATCATTATAACAGATCCGTGGTTCCCAAACCTTTCAGCTTCCAACCTAAAGAAATAAAAGTTTACAATGGGTACAGAGACAACACAAACAGCAAACCCTTCTCTTTCTAAGTATGGATTTGGTTTCTCCTCTGAGAATGAGAGTTCTCAGACTAACCTTGGTCTGTCTGCAGCAGTCGCTTTCATTTGCCACACTGACATTGCTACCCAGCTTTCCTGGGTCAGAAAAACTGACCCAGGAAAGCTGGGTCAGTTTTCCTGGGTCATTTTTGTGCTTTGAAAAGCAATTGTAAAAGCTTCTGTTTGCAATCACACTAACTGTTAGCATGTGTTAACATGTTCGCCACAACAGAAAGCTTTGCATAGTGACTAAAATCAATGTGACAATGTGACCAACTATGTGCTCCCAGGAATGCAGCGTCTTACATTTGGAATTCAATGCTTTTGCTGTAGTTAAGTGTTCTGGATAATGCATCCATTTTCTATAATATGAAATAGGCCAGTAGTTCAGAGCTGTCATCTAGGAAACACATCTTGATGATGTAAAATTGAAAGATGCAATGTTGTTTTATGTGAAAACAAAGTAGTTTTTGTGCCAAAAGTTCAACTGGCAGCTCTTTAAAACATCAGCACAGTGCTTTTCCTGGTGCCGCTGACAGACTTATGCTGAATCAAGTCAAGAAATATAACCAACGCTGAATGCAATCCCAAAGGTCCTATGTTAAATGCATTGTCAGAAATTACCATCAAACAAGAGACAAGATACATTTAAAAATGGCAACAAAGCAAATGAAAATTGAGTGCATGAGTCAAGGTACTGCCTACATGAAAGGATCAAAGTAGAAACCTGCATCTTCATTATAAATGTGCTCAAATCTTTGTCTATATTTTGCTAATGTAAAAGAATAAATAAAAAATTGCATTAGTGGTGTTTCCATTAAATAAGGAATGCAATTAAAATCACATGTGAATAAGCCATCAAAAATCATGGCGGTGACTAACATAAACAGTTACATAAGGTATATTTATAATTCAGCCATTGCTCTACCACCTATCAGTCGTCATAGGAGACGTTGACAACTTATTCAGGTGTTGGATTTACAAACCCTTCATACTGAGGAGCGGCTCCATATGCAGTGGTTTGTGGAAACTGTAAGTTGATTGTACAGACGACCTTCGGATCAAACACGTTCAAATGACAGACAACTTTATGACCTGTGTGATGCTGTGAGAGCTCTGGTGGAGCCAGCTGCACATTGTCTGAAAAGCATATATTAAAAATTCTCCTACTACTTCATATGGTCTTTGTTATTTTCACTAGCAGCACCACCTGGTTGTTGATCATGTGACTGATTAGGAAAAAAAAGTGATTCCATTGCAGTTTTATGAAATAAATCTATTTCAATATTTCTGAAAAACCACCTCATCCTACCAAAAAAATGTTTCTTCTAAATTGACGTGTTCACGTTAATCAGATTTATTGTCTGAATTTCAAGTTGTGCAATTGCATGGTTAATGTTCTTTGCCAGGCAGAGTAT